GAACAGTTGCATGAAAATGTACAGACATTTTTGCTTTATTTAATTTTTTGTATAAAATATATCTGCAGGGTTTATTTTTGCAGGAATTAAAATGTGTTTTGAAGGGTAGAATTATGTAAATGTGCACATTCACATGAATATTCACACAGCACTTTGCAGGAAAGGCACAACTGGTTTGCTCTGAGTAACAGTTGTGTTGTATGTCAGGATTTAGAGCAAAAAAGAAAAGCCCGATGCTATGCAGACTCATTGTTATGAGTCCTTGTTCATCGCAGAAAACTGTTTTATATTAAAGTGATCCATCAGATTTTTGAAGTGGGGCTCTTTGGAAAGGTTATGGGGAATTATTTTCTTAACTGTTGAAGGCAAACTCTTTGAAACAACTAGTTTTGTGGGTCAAAGACTAAAGAGGATTGCTGCTGTCTTAAAACAAACTTATTAACAAAAATTCATATTGATTCATGCACTTACTTATGAACTTTTACGTCAACATTATTTTTTGTTGCATGATTATTTTATATAGGCGGCACGGTGGCGCAGTTGGTAGAGCTGTCGCCTCTCAGCATGAAAGAACCTGGTTCGAATCCCTGCTGGGGGCTTTCTGGGTGGAGTTTGCATGTTTTCTCCGTGCATGCGTGGGTTTTCTCCAGGCACTCCGGTTTCCTCCCACAGACCAAAAACATGCATGTTAGACTGATTGGTAACTCTAAATCAGGGGTGTCAAACCCACTTACAAAAGGGGGCCAAAATTAAAACCTTTTTCAAACTATGGGCCAATTTCAGAATCTACGTTAACTCAAGTTAGAGACCCAGCATCTTTTCTTGGTTGCAGGTTCCTCAACAAGATTTTGATTGGTCTCATTTGATGTTCTCTGTTGCACTTTTGACATCATAATCAAAGATTACTGAAAAAATGATGTGATAAAAGTATTTTATATTTAAAATAACATCTTGGGGCCAGATAAGATGCCAATGAGGGCCACATTTAGTCCCCGGGCCTTGAGTTTGACATCCCTAGGTGTGAGTGAGAGTGAATTTGTCTCGTTTGTCTCTATGTGTCCCTGTGATGGACCTTGTGACCTGTCCAGGGTGTCCCCCTGCCTCTCACAATAACTGCTGGATATGGGCGCCAGTGACCCCAGTGATCTGGAATGGAAGAAGTGGGTAAAGATAATGGGTGGATTATTTATATAAACTTCTGTCTTTTTGTGCAAACCACAGCAGCAGCTAGCTCCAGGCTGCATTTTCCAGCAGGTATATCAAAATATTTCTGACTAACAATACCATTTTAGAATAAAGTTATTTTAAGGTGGGCAACAATCAACTTTGGTTTTAGCCAAACTAGGATTACCATATTTTTTGGCCTATAAGGTGCACCAGATTATAAGGCGTAATATCAATGAACAGGTCTGTTTTCATGCATAAGGAGCACCGGATTATAAAGTGCATTAAGTGAAAATAAAACATTTTGACAGATTTTTGAGCACCGTATACCACATAAAATTGGTTCAAGTTCCGTAAGCACAACCAGAATTAATACATAAGGCGCACTGGATTATAAGACTCACTGTTGATTTTTGAGAAAATTAAAGGATTTTAAGTTTGCCTTATAGTGTGAAAAATACGGTAGTTGTTAGCTTGTCAATCTGGTCAGAAGAAATCAATATTTCTCCAAACTGGTTGTTCAAAGAGCTATCTACAACAGGTAAGATAATGACTGTGAACACCTTTTACACAGAAACCCACTTCTAAAGATATGAACTATTTCTTCAGGTCTTGAAAGAGAATATTACCTGGAAACAAAAAGAAAAAATCCATTTTAACTTTAAACATAAACCTTAATAGGATACTAAATGTCGGTGAGTTTATAAAATTTGTCGCTGTGATGCACAAACATTAGAGACTCACATGTTTTTCTCTGTTTTGGTCAGTATTGCCTTTCAAAATAGATTGTCACAAAGTCATTTTAGCTCCAAAGCATCCTGTTCCTGTTACCTCAGGTGTTCCCCAGGGCTCTGTCCTGGGACCCTTGTTGTTTATCATTTACCTTCTTCCCCTTAGTTACATTTTTTGCAAACAGTTTCACTGCTATGCGAATGACACCCAACTCTATCTCTCAAACAAACCTAACTCTTCACTTCCACCCTCATCCCTCACCGATTGTCTCCTTGAAATAAAACACTGGTTCAGTTTAAACTTTCTTAAACTAAATTGCAATAAAGCAGAACTTATTTTAATTGGCACTAAATCAATACTAAATAAACTTCATAGCTTCTCCGTTCCAGTTGATAACTTTCATCTTCGAAATATTAATTGTCTCCGTCCTTCCCTCACTCCTCACGCCACTGCTGTTCTGGTCCACAGTCTGGTCACCCCTCGCTTAGATTATTTCAATTCTCTTCTTTTTGGCCTACCACAGAAAACCCTCCATAAATTACAACTGGTCCAAAATTCATCTGCCCGTATCATTACACGGACCCCCTCAATCCATCACATCACACCTGTTTTACAACAGCTTCATTGGCTTCCCATCCCATATCGCATCAACTACAAAATATTCCTTATCTTAAAAAAGTTGTCCACAACCTCGCTCCTCCATATCTTTCGGACCTTGTTCACATTGCTACACCTGCTCGTACCCTCAGATCCTCTTCTTCTATCCAGCTCATTGTTCCCCTTGCCCGTCTTGTTACTATGGGGAGCAGAACATTCAGCTGCTCTGCTCCCCAGCTCTGGAACTCACTCCCACCTGATATTCGCAACACAGACTCATTGCCACATTTCAAATCCAAACTCAAAACTTATCTGTTTCAAGTAGCTACGCACTGTGATTGCAACTGCACTGTCTTATTTTAATTCTATTTTACTTGTTTTTACAGTGTGTATAATATCGTGTCTGTTTTTATGATTGGCAATGTAAGGTGACCTTGAGAGCCAATAAAGGCGCCTACAAATAAAATATATTATTATTATTCTTAAAGGTCTCGAGAAAAGCTGAATCACTTGTTCGTTCGATGATCTGCAGCGTCCTGGTTTTGCAGGTTTTAGCATTAGTTCCAATTAAGTCGTCTCTTCAGACTCTCACACCAGCGGGTCATTGATTATTTTTACCCTCTCAAACAAATTGAGTTCATCAGAGGAGTGGTATCTGGAACAACTCTGTCTTTAAATCTCAAAAGTAAAAAAAAAAAACTGTCTCCTATTTTAGTTGCCAGAGTCATTATCACACATGACTAAATGTCCAAATGACAGACATTTGGACTTACAGTTCATTCAGAACTCATTTTTAGTTGAATAACTTCAATGTTCTGTGTCCACAAACTCAAAGAATCCAGACTGCATTTTTTGCTCCAGATGGCACATGCCAGAAGATCCTAATCCCGCACCTCCTCAATCTGGTGTCAGATTCCAGTGGAAACCGTGCACAGCTGGAGAACGCGGGAGAAACTAGGACAGATACAGCTCTGGAGGTCGGGGGTCATCGGAGCGGCGTACAACTGATGAGGGGGGAGTCATCAGTCAGAGAGTCAGACATCAGGAGGGCATGTTTGTTGTAGTTCTTTGTGTACATGTACATGAAAGCACATACAATATTTTAAGCTGTCGATGCATCAGACAAACCTAACATTGATTCTCTGGGTATTATCCAGAATGATAGTTAACAGTTTTTATTTTTTTAATCTTTGCATGCCAGCAGAGGTTTCAGTGGAGTATTTTTCTCCCAACATATTTGCTGTATAAATAGTTAAATTATTTTAAATGGTTTTGTACAATGCCCTGAGATGACTTTTGTTACAAAGTTGTGCTATAAAAATGAATTGAATTAAATAAATAGGTCAAACTAAGAGTGACTTCAATTTTTTTTCGCAAAATAACAGTTTTTTTTTAGAGCTTTTGTTGATCATTTTTGAACGCATCATATTTTTCATAAAGGTGCGTTAATACAAATATTGTTTGACGCTTATCCCCTTAACTGTGCTTACTCTGAGTGTTCTAGGCAGCCACCCAGATTATAGTCCAAACTACCAGCCAACCAGGCCAGATGTTAGCCAACCCTGATGTGTCTGTGATCAGAGTAAAGTCAGCGAAGAGGCGAAAAACTGCAGGTTGGAGAACTATATCATATTTTTTATTTTAGTATTTAAAATAGATAGATTTTTCTCATATGCCTAAAAATTAATTTATCTGGCAACAGCCCAGAATTTATATGTAAATATAGTTTTTAGTGACAGCCAAGCTGGTTTGGTTGGCACTAAAGTTGAGCAGTAAAAGATTCTGATGAGTGGAGAAAGATGGATGGATGGATGGATGGATGGATGGATGGATGGATGGATGGATGGATGGATGGATGGATGGATGGATGGATGGAAGGACGGACATATGGATGGATGGATGGATGGATGGATGGATGGATGGATGGACGGACGGACGGACGGACGGACGGACGGACGGACGGACGGACGGACGGATGGATGGATGGAAGGACGGACATATGGATGGATGGATGGATGGATGGATGGATGGATGGATGGATGGATGGACGGACGGACGGACGGACGGACGGATGGACGGACGGACGGACATATGGATGGAAGGACGGATGGACGGACGGACGGACGGAAGGACGGATGGACGGATGGACGGATGGACGGATGGATGGATGGATGGATGGATGGATGGATGGATGGATGGATGGAAGGACAGATGGACAGATGGACGGACGGACGGATGGATTTGCTGATCCTAATTCTTTAAAAATTTAACAACTCATCTGGACCAGAGCAGGCTTCCTTTGGGACCAGATCTGGACCGCGGACCGCCACTTGGGTACCTCTAATATTGACTAAAAGCAACTTGTTTATTAGAAACATTTCTAAATGGTGTCTAATTTGTGTCTAATTTGTGTCTAATTTGTGTCTAAATTGTGTCTAAGTGGATGAACGGATCAGAAACAAACAGCGCACGTGAACACTTTCTTTCACGACTTTTGTCGGACTCACGTGAAGACGAAGAACATGGAGGTCGAGCCGAGCAGGAGGCACGCGGCGGTGCACACCGGGATGAAGGCGCTGGGGCCGGGGGCGGGCATCCTGTCCTCCTCATCGGGCTCCCACCGCGACAAGAGCCGAGGAAAACCGTGCGGGGGTCGCAGGTCGCAGCGAAACTACCGTCATGGTTTTTCAACGATGGGGTGGGAAATAAATTCCCGGAAGTCTAAAAGATCTGCAGCAGCATCCCGTCCGGTCAGCTCGGTCCAACAGGCAGACAGCACGCGCAACATCTGCAGATGCTGCTGCCTGTCTGTACAAACACCCCCTCCCCTCCAACCCCCCTCCCCAACAGGTTGGACTCAATGACGTGACTACTACCACCCCAATCTCTTTAGATTGGTCAAAATTGTCAAATATATGACCACTAAATATAGATGGATGACATATAATAAACTATTATTATTAGGCCCGAGCAGCAAAGCGCTGCGAAGGCCTATTGTAATTGTGTCGTTTCTTATTATTTTTCTTGGGACTTTTGGGACGCATTTTTGGAGGCCTTAGCATATCCCAAAACTCACCAAACTTCACCAAAACTTGTCCCCCTAGTAAAATTTTTGAACTGTAATGGATCCAAAAGTGGGCGTGGCCAAACTGCTCCACAGCGCCCCCTAACGTGAGATATGAAAACTGGTAAGTCCTAGAGAGCTGAAATTTGGTACATAGGTAGAACCCACCGAATCAAGAAAAAAAGTCTCTTGGAGGTATGCCTTAAACCCAACAGGAAGTCGGCCATTTTGGGTCAAAGGGTCAATTTTGGCCGTTTTTCACTTTTCGTACACGGCGAATTTGAACGAACTCCTCCTAGGGATTTCGCTCAATCGGTTTCAAACCTTCGCCATTTTGCTCATTAGGCATGGGGGACCTAAAGTTATCAAAACGGTGCAAATTGACGCATGTTGAGGGGGCGGGGCCAGGCCTCAAAGTTGAGCTTCACGCCATAAATTTCCAAACGTTATAACTTTCACGTTGAAAAACAGAATCGTACCAAATTTGGTACAAGTCATCCCTGTCCCATGCCTGACGATACACTGAGGTCAAATTTTGACGTCATCAAAGCCCCGCCCCCTCAGAACAGGAAGTGACTTTTTTTGCTTGGAATGCTCCCTCCCTGACACTCTTGACCCAATCAGGATGATCCTGTGTTAGAAGGCAGATAACAAGTTGGTCTGACTTGCTTTGAAGCGCAAAGCGTTTCCCCTGGAGGATGTGGGCGTGGCGGCGTGGCGAAGTCAGAAGTGACGCCGTTACAATACGTTTGGCTCTGAATTCCACAGATTTGATCCGAGGTTCATGAAAATCACTATGATCGATCATTGCCCGCCCCTTGAACAGGAAACCATGATAATTGCGCAATAGCCTCTCTAGCGCCCCCTATAATATTTTAAAACCTGAGCCCCAAGCCGTTTTTCGACCGATAAATCTGAAACTTGGTGAACATGTGTATCTTCTCAGGACCTCTGAAAAAGTCTCTTGGCGCTCCGGTCCAAACTCTACAGGAAGTCGGCCATTTTGGGTCAAAGGTTAATTTTTGGGCGTTTTTAACGGCGAATTTTAACGAACTCCTCCTAGGGATTTTTAAGGATTGCCTTCAAACTTGGTTATTAGGCCTTTAAGACATTGGAGAGTAAAAGTTATCAAAAGCTTTCGGTTTTGTTTTGTTAAAGGGGCGTGGCCAGGCCTCAAAGTTGAGCTTCACGCCATAAATTTCCAAACGTTATAACTTTCTACTTGAAAATCAGATTTGCACCAAATTTGGCATGAGTCATCCCTGTCCCATGCCCGACGATACCCTGAGGTCATATTGTGACGTCATCAAAGCCCCGCCCCCTCAGAACAGGAAGTGACTTTTTTTGCTTGGAATGGTCCTACTTTGACACCCTTCACATAATCAGGATGATCCTGTGTTAGAAGACAGATAAGATGGTCTGACTTGATTTAAACAACAAAACAGTTATAGCTGGAGAATGTGGGCGTGGCGCCATGGCGAATTAAAAAGTGACGCCGTTGCAATACGTTTGGCTCTAAATTGCACAGATTTGAACCCAGATGAACCAAAATCACTATGATTGATCATTATCCACCTCTGAACAGGTTTCCATGATAAGTGGCCAAGAGCCTCCACAGCGCCACCTACATTCTTCTTACAGTTATATCTCAGTGATACAACATCCGATCTGAACCAGATTTTTGGTGCGTCATTACTGAGAACTGATGGACATTTTAGTTTTGTTGTTTAATATTTGACTCAAGGGCGCCCCCTACATTATTCAAACTGTTTTGTCTCAGTGATATATCATCCGATCTGCACCAAATTTTTGGTATATTATTATGTAGCCCTGATGGACACATTAGTAATGTTTTTTAACTTTTGACTCTAGAGCGCCCCCTATAATATTCCAACCCTTATATCTCAATGATATATCATCCGATCTGCACCAGATTTTTATGGCATAATGTGTGACCATGTCTAAACACATTGTTAGTGTTGTTTAAAATTTGACTCAAGTGCGCCCCCTAGATTATTCAAACTGTTATATCTCAGTGATATGTCATCCGATCTGGACCAGATTTTGGGTGCGTCATTACTGAGAACTGATGGACATTTTAGTTTTGTTGTTTAATATTTGACTCAAGGGCGCCCCCTACATTATTCAAACTGTTTTGTCTCAGTGATATATCATCCGATCTGCACCAGATTTTGGGTGCATCATTAGTAAGCCCTAATGGACACATTTGTAATGTTTTTTTACTTTTGACTCTAGAGCGCCCCCTATAATATTCCAACCCTTATATCTCAATGATATATCATCCGATCTGGACCAGATTTTGGGTGCATCATTAGTAAGCAGTTATGGACACATTAGTAGTGTTTTTTAACTTATGACTCTAGAGCGCCCCCTTTAATATTCCAACCTTTATATCTCAATGATATATCATCCGATCTACACCAGATTTTTGGTATATTATTATGTAGCCATGATGGACACATTAGTAATGTTTTTTAACTTTTGACTCTAGAGCGCCCCCTATAATATTCCAACCCTTATATCT